AATTGGATAAAGCCATCAATGAAAAATAAAAGCAAAACCAGACTTTCTGTAAACAGAGCCACTTAAAACTACTTAACACTCCAAGTGTACTTGTAATTAAATCCAAACAGAATTTCTTTATAATACAGCTTTTAAAATAATCTAGTGCCCTCAGGTGGCAGAACACTGTACCTCCTCCAACAAACAAATTATTTCAAACAATGCTTGGAGTGAAGGATTTCTCCTTCAATACTCTTCAGCAATTCAGGAGCAACATTCTGATTTCAAGTTTTACACATGTCAAACTAATATTTAATTTTGACCTAATATCTGCTTTATAAGTGAGGATACTGGAGAGGTACTGAAAGATAATTTTTCAAAAAAGTGAAAGGTAAGTGTAACTACAAAGGAACAGTTTAACAGATTCAACATTGAAATACTTACAATTCTTTTTTAAGTTCTTCCACTTTCTTGTTCTCCAGATTTAGAAGCTCTTTTGATTTATTAAGTTCCTCTTCATTTTTCAGGTTGTTTTGTTTAAGCATGTCCAACTTAAAGAGGAAAATAAAAAAAAAAAACTCATTACACTAATGAAACTATACAGTTTTTAGGTGTAGCACTTGGAAAAGATATTCAGCAAAATGGGGGCCTGAGCTGAGCTGTTCCACTTTTTCATCTTTAGTCCTCAAATTAATTCAGTCTGTTTGTACTGAGAAGCATTTGTCGAGCAAAAAATGTTATGAGACTTTCTGCATTCAAGTTGAGCAGCACAAAGAATTCAAAGTCCACTGAAGAGCAGCTTACAGTAATCTGAGGTATATACCCTGATATAAAAGGTAAAGCTCCAAAGCACCTCCATTTTAAATGCTATACAACTCAAAGCACTTTTTTTTTTTTTTAAATTCAACATTTTTTGCTAAAATTAGCTGTTCCCTTGATCTTTATTCCTCCAAGATAACTGATAACAAGTGCTGCTTTACCATACCTTAATTTCTGAGAAACAGTAGGCTGAATGTTGTGCTTGCAACCGTAAGAAATGAATTCCTTTCAGAGATCCTGTGGCATGGGACAAATTGTTTATCTATTTACTGAGCTTGCATCTATCACACAAACACCACAAGCTCGCGAGCCTTATTTGTTCGCATTCAGCAGCACATTATATTACATAACAGATAATCTTCAGCCATTCTCACGGCATTACAGGACCCTGTGGATTTTTTTTTTTTTAAATCTAGAAAGTGAACTCCTGCCATTATTAACGTCACCGCTTTTAATTCTCGCGTCATCAGATCTCGTTGGAAATAATTACTGTTTCAGCACAAGCTGTGGCTTTTAGGTTAGCCCAGCTGTTCACTCCCATTATTATGGGAGCTGCAAAAGATAAAAGAGCCATCAAAAAGAGGCCGGCAGATCTCAAGACCTGCAGAAAAGATGCCAATACGTTAGACTAGATACTCTGGGGCAAAAGAGCGTGAAAAAGATTAGCAAGGACGTTTTTCCCTCCTTCAAACCCTGAAGTATCACAAAGTGGTGGGAGGACATAGACTGAAAAGGGGTCCCTAGAGGAACTGCTGTTCATGTTGGACTGTGAAGTTCTTTGGGACCACTGTGCTCATGTATTTGTATAGTGGACAGCTCAGCAGAATTTGTACCTTGTCAGACCATAATTCTGATTAACAGAAAAGTGGAAAAAAGAAGAAATGATAACATTACACATCAGGATCACAAAGAGGACGCACAGAGCAAGGAGTGCATTATAGGTGAGTACTAGAGCGAGAACTTTTGTGGATTAGGACTGCTGTTACTCAGAGCTCCGCAGCACTTCATTGGAGCATGATGTCGCACCCCACAATTACAACCAGGGAACTGAAGCACAGAGTGATCACATCTAAGCCACTTATCCAAAGCTATACAGCAAGACTGATTAAGCCTCAAGTCAAACCCCTGTCTCTTGATTCTGTGATCTGCAAAAGCTGCTCTAGCATCCAGAACTCCTATTACGTAAGATAATTTTTTTTTGTTGCTGCACCAAGATTTAAGGGATATGACCTTATATGCTGTATGGTATTTGAAACCACATGCAAAATACAAAAGAAAATAGGTCATATGGCTATATAAAGCACCTAGATTTTCCATCAATATGCACTCATCGAGCAAGTTTTCACAAGCCAGTCAAGACTGAGTATTGTGGTGGAAAAATGACAAAATCCACTCTGACCTAATCTAATTCCCTGTAATTCAATAACTGTTCCTTACAAATTAGGTCAAACTTTTCATATAAAAGCATTTAAATGTGATTACTTCATTCTGTAGCTTCTCGTTTGTCTGTCTAGAGTTCTCCAAAGAGGCCAAAGTTTCAATCTTTTCTTTGTGAATGGCGTCCTTCTCTTTGGTCACCTTCTCCACAGTCTGGAAAACATCTTCTGCCATTTTGGCAGCCTATATAGAAAGGAGGGTGGGGAGGGAAAAAAAAAAAAAAAAAAAAAAAAAAAAGTATTACCAAAGGGACCTCTGAAAGCAAAAGATGAACCACAATACTTTATGCACAGCTCCACAGTTTGCCAGCTGCTTTCCAATTAAATAAGGACTTCAGCTGGGAATTTATTTGCATTTTGAAGCTGCATAAAGCATAAAAATAAGTGGACATGAGAAGATTCAATTCCATGCAGAAATAGATTGTAACCCCATGCATGTGTCACCACTGAGGAAGCCTATTTCTTCTTTTTTAATTCCTGGATTTCTAATTACCACCACTGTGATTGCTCTTAGACTTGTAACCACTTTAGACAGTAGTAGTTCAACAGATATTCACTTCCAACAGACTACTCTGTTTTCAGAAAATGTGGAATTATAAAAGGTTGTTAAAAATTTGAAAAAGAATTAAAAATTAAATAGGAAATAAAGCCAATTATTTCAGTGTTGTTCATTATGCCCTCATCAAAGGAAATACTTCACAAGAATATTAAAATACCTATGTAGGCATAATACACGCCTATGGGATATCTTGATTCCAATTTGTATTCAAAGTGATTTTATGGGCTTCAAGCCACACAAACTGAAATTCAAAATACTTTACAGAATTTGTTGGTGGTGAATACAAAACACTTCTGTGAATAAAAAGAACACCAGAATTGTCAATGTCTTTAACAGACTGAAAGTCCTATAATGTAAATTTAAGTGGTTCTCTTACACTGCTTTTTATCCAATTACATTTACAGGAGCAGTACATTGTTTTATATTTTTTTTTTTAGTAACTCAAATTTGTACTTTGTTGTAATTTAAAATTTAACATAAAATTCCACAAAGATCTAATCTAAAACCTTATCTATTGCTACTTTAGCTTTTAAGCTGCAGAGTACTTCAACAGAAGGAGCCGCTCAATTTCTCCTACCAGATTCAGGAAACAAAACTTCCTTTTATTCACAGTTTATGTTGTTTTCTTGCAACATTCAGCGACAACATAGGCTTTTGTATTTATAAATGTTTTTTAAAAAAATATTAAAGTGTCTTTCAGACTCACAACTTGGAAAAAAAAAAACAAAGTAATATATTGAGAGAGACCATAATTCCAGCCTGTTTATACTGAGATGAAGTGCTGATTGTGCAATGAAGTGCAGAGAGGAAACCATTGGGTTAGTGCTCAGTATTAGTATAACCGTACTTGATTGTTTAACTATGTGTTTCAATACCTCCATTTTTTGCGCTACTGTTTGGGCCTGGAGAGTCTCAATTTCTTTTAGTTTCAAAGCCAGATTGTTCATCTCCTCCTGCAGCATCTGATTTTTGCCCTGAGAGACCAGCAGTTTGCCTGAGAGGTCACTATTAGTTTGTTCTAAAAGTGCTACTTCCTCGTGCAGTTTATAATAATCCTTGGAGAATTTCTCCTTCTCTTTCAGTATTTCTTCCTTAATGGTGACCAGACTCTTCTGTTCAGCAAGTAGGCTGTCATTTTCCTGAAGCAACTGTATTCTCTCCTTCTCCGTCACCTCATGCCTGTGTCGAAGATCATCTAGCCTCTCAGAGACAGAGCTGTGCAGGTCCTGGAGCTCTGCTTTTGATTTAGACAAGGAAACAAAGTCACTCTGCAGTCGTTCGATACTGGAAGCGAGCTGCTCTGTCTCTGCACAGAGGGTTTCTTTTTCTTTAATTATTTCCGCCAGTTTAGTTTCAGATTTTTCTTTCCCCTGAACTAAAAGTTCTTTCTCAGTCAGCAATTCTTTGTTTTTTGCTCTCAGCTCTTCTATCTCCTTCTCTAAGAAGTTGATGTTGCTTTCAAGTTCCACACGTTCCAATGAAAATGATTCCTTGTCCAGTTTTCTAGCTTCCTGTTCCGTGGTTAAGTTTCCTTTCATAATCTCGACCTCTCCCTTTAATTTCTGACACTTATCTTGCAATTCAGTCCTCTCTCTGGTCAGCGTTTCCCTATCAGAGGAACAGGTCTTGAATGAAGACGACAGAACCTGCTGGGCATGTGATACAGCAGCCAGTTCATTTTCTAACGTTCTTTTGGCACCCTGGGCCTCTTTCAGAAGATCTGAAAGGTCACATTTACAGGCTATTAGCTCTTGATTTTCTAGAGTTTTCTTACTTAGTTCTTTCTTGAGGGCTTCAATGGAATCTTGGAGCATGGTATTCTCTTGGGCCAGAGCTCTCTTGGCTGAGACATCCAGTTCATGTTCTCTCTTCATATCAGAAATTTCATTTACAAAAGACTTGTTTTCCTCAAGAAGCTCTGAGTATTTGTTCTCCAATTCATTCTTCTCTTGAAGAAGAGCTTCATTGTGCTTTTCAAATTGCAACGACTTACCGAAAACAGATTCCTTTTCTAAGTTCAGTTCGGTTATTTTCTCAGTAAAGACTTTCTCAGCAAGTATGGCATCTGCTGTGGCTTTAGAAAGCTTTTCAGCAATTGCCTTATTTTCATTTAAAAGTTCCTCCTTTTCAGCCAAAAGCCTTCGTCCTGTTGAAGAAAGAGCCTCTTTCTCTTGAAGTAACTGAATACATTCAGACTTGGATATCTCTCTTGAGGCTTTAATTTCCTCAAGAAGATGAGAGAGACTAGCAAGGGAATCCTTCAACTCCAGATTGCTTTTCATCGCTTTTTTAAGTTCTTTATGTTCAGTCTCGAGTTCTGTTTGCATCTCTTCCATTCTCACTTTTAACGCTTGGTTTTCACTAACTGTATTGTCTAAACTCTCCTGCAGCTCTTCTGTGCTTTTAAGAAGCAGCTCCTTCTCAGACTGCAGACTCTGATTTGTCTGCAATAGACGGTCCATTTCATTTTTTAAGGCTGTATGTGTATTTTTAAGATCTGAGTGTTTACCTAGGACTGAATCTCTCTCTGCAGTCAGAGTTGACACTTCTTGCAGTAGCTCTCTTTGATCTCTGGCCAGGGCCTCACAAGAACTTTCCAGCTTCTGAATAACATCATCTTTGTCTTTAACAACTGCATCTTTCTCTTCTAAAAGTTTCTTTTGATAATGCTCCAGTTCTTCCCGTTCTTTGATATGTTTCTGACATACCACATCCATGGCATCTTTGTTGGCTTGAAGTTCTTTCAACTGTTGGAGCAAGGTTGACTCTGAAGACCGAAGAGCATCATTCTCTTGAGCTATCTTCAGAAGGTCTGCCCGCGCTGCCTCTATTTCAGAGAGTAATTTGTTTTTCTCAGAAATTAGTGCTACATTTTCTGTGCTTTCCTGCTGGCTTTTGGCCTCAGCCTCCTCCTTCTGCTTTAGGATTTTTTTATTTTCTGAATTAAGTTCTTCATTTTTTGTCCAAAGTTCTTCTTGGTCTTGTTGCATTAACGAAATCTTTGATTCCAGTTCTAGAAGTTTTGATAACAAGGAACCTCTCTCTACTTTTAAAGTATTCCCCTCCTGTGCCAGAGTCTCTTTTTCTGATATCAAACCCCTCATCTTGTCTGACATTAGTTCAACCTCTTTTCTGGCTGATGCTAACACAGAGCTTAAGGACTAAAGAAATAAAGTCAGGGAGAAGGGAAAACAAAAATGAAGTCAAGCAGACAAATGAGAAATGTGGTTTAAGGGCAAACAGAGCTATTGTAATTTAGGTTTAAACAAGTATATACACTGGCACACAGTCCCTATGTGAATTCAACTGCTGACATTTCTGATGTCAGAACCACTGATATTTCATTATAAAACACCCACCATCCGCAGGAAAACTTCAGTGGTTAAATTAAGAAAAAAAAAAAAAAATATGGTTTGAAGGTTCCTCCATACAGGACTTCATCTTGTTTTTAAAACTACTCTCAACAAATTTTCTGAATGTAAATTACTCAGAAAAGAGCCACAGAATGATTTAATGAGAATCTAAGTGAATTAAAATGCAGGGAGTTACATTAGATGCTGACTTCCAATCCTCAAATTCACCTTCTATAGCTAATTGCCCTCATGATTCTGTCCAAAACACATTGTCACAACCTGTTTAATGCAAAACACCACATCAGTGGTGTATTCAAAGCTAACTTGTGTGCCAATTTATACACTAAATATTTTGCTAAAGCATAAAACAAAGATTATAGCAAATAACTAATGAGGGATGAAAGCAAGCAGCAATGTCAAAGAAACGGGAGAAAAAAAAAGCCAATTACTAAAGTCAAGCTACATACTAAGCAGTTGCACATAATATGGGATCATACTACAGAACAAAATTTTAGGTGTGTAACACTTCTAAATGAAATAGTTCACAACATATTTTATTCAAAATTCATGCATTTAAAAACCAGAAAATAACATTTGGCTCCAACTGATTGTGCTGAGCCAGATATCTATGAACATAAAATGTTATCAAAGAACCTTATTTCATGGATTCTTGTGTGATCTAGAGAAGACAACCAGTTAGTCATGTATACTTCTCTTCCCTAACCGATATTAATCTACCCTGGAAAAGTTCAGAAAAGAAACACTGCAAAAATCCTACTATGAAACGATGAAGCCAGGCGGAAAACAGTGATTCACTGAAACAGAAAGATTTAAACTTTAAATTACTTGCAGAGTAACAAAATATACATACTTTGGCCTGTTCTGCTTGCTTTTTCAGCTCCTCAGCCTGTGTTTCTAACTCATCGTTTTTCTTCTGTGCAATTTTCAGTGCCTCTTCTGCATCCAGCAATTTCTGCTTAAACCCTTTGATATCTGCATCGTGTTTAGTGATCATCTCAGAAGTTTCTTTTTCATATTTTGCCTGAAGATCCTTATACTGATTTTGACTAGTCTCGATTTGCTTTTTCTGACAGAAGATAAAACAATTGGAACACAGTTAAAGAAGCAGTGGTACCATATTCTGCACATAGTTAGCTAGTGCTTTTTAAAGTTCTTACCATGTCTGTTAGTTGATCCTGCATATTTTTCAGTTCTGCTTGATGAATCTTTAGAGTTTCTTGCTGACTCTGTTCAGCTTTCTGTGTTGTCTGCTCCACATTTTTCTGAAGCTCAACAGCCTTTTCATTTGCTTTTGTAAGCTCAAGTTGTATTTGCTCCAACTGCCTAGAAAGACCAAATAAAAGAACATTACTTTTTGCTGACAGCATGACAAGCACAGAGATGAAAGACTCTAAATTACGCTGAAGTTCTATGTTCTGTCCAAGCATTTAGAAAGAGATTTAATTATTTAACATATAGAGAACATTCTGCTAAATTAAATATACACAAGTGAGACTGAGCACTTGCCCGTGTGCAGAGCAACACAGCTGCCAGTTACCTTGCCCCAGTCTGGGGTTTTGTAAAGGTAAATAACAACTATTCTACATACAATTTTTATTTGAAACAAAACATGTTTTCTCTTGCTAGTCAAAAACGTGACCCAAGTCTTGTATATATCCAAACAAACCAAGCTTATCAGGTAATCAAATAATTATTAAGAAGCACAATCCCAAAACAGTCTAGATTATTAAAATGTTCATTTACTCTGGACAATGAGAAGCATGTTACACAAGAATTTTAGAATTATAAATGTTAGATGCTCTTCAAATCACTCTGAGGAGACTGTTTTGATTAATTTAATTTGATAGAGTAAGTTCACTTGTCATATTGATGTGACACTCAGGAGCACCTTGTTCAGATATTTACAAAAAGATAAAATGAGAAGCAGGGAGTGCAGGAGTAAAGAATTAATGTGAAAATGTTCTGACAATGATGGAATACCTTTCTTTTAACCGGAGCTCATCATTCATTTTCGTAAGCTGGGCAGAGCTGTCTCCTGAAGACTTCATGATCTCTGCAATATCATTTTCAAGTTTGGCTTTAGCTTCAATCAGTTGCTGTTCTCTCTCTTCTCGCTCCTTCAATTTCTTCTCCATCACTGAACAAGACAAAGGTTAGCAGTCCAGTAAATTTAAGAGAAAGGGTATGCCCTGACTAGCTAGAAGATAGTAAAGAACTTTAAACAGAGCAGTACTGATGCTGTGGAGCTTGCAAGTTACCCCTTTAAAATTAAAAATTACGATTGTTTGACCTTTGGACTGTTAACTGTAGCAGAAGGTTAAGAACTCTTCAGAAATAGTAAAAAAGCATCTAGTAAAGAAATCTTTCTTTCAGAAGTGATTCACTTAACTTCAGGCCATGAGAAGCGGATACAATTTCTACCCATATCAGAGGGTAATCAAGCAATACCTTAAGAGAGGTGTGCACATCTTACAGGCGAGACAACTCACCAGCTATTTAGTAGAGCAGCAGAAAACAAACAATGCAAGCAACATGAAGCTACAGCGAAAAAATTACTCATTACAGGCACTGCCACCAAGGGCCAGAGCAGCCCTTGGGGTGACTTCTACAGTCCCAACAATGCCTTGAAAGGCTTGCTTACAGGGTACATAATCATTGTTAATTTCTTTCTACAATGGTTTTAAAATGAGATGTACAACTGGAAAGATACAGCAAGACTCCCTCCTATGAGATAAGAAGTAGGCAACCAGATTAATGTAGAGTTTTTTTGATGTCCTTAAAAAGAAAACACTACTTATGGACAAAGCTTTGTGAATTAACTATCTCATCTTTGTTATGCTTCAGTCTGGTCCCCAAGCTTTTGACTGGTATCTGACCATCACCACAGCATGCTTTTGTTGCAAAGTCAAACAAGAATTTAATTATTGATTTGGAATACACTCAGCCAGGAAATCTTCCGCCTTACTGCACTATTTCCTTAACACCACCATCGCCTTGCTGTGTCACCATACACAGTGCTACAAAAGCTGTTTTCTGCTTAGAAAAAAGGCTTTCTCTTGAAGGCATAGGCATTTGTGAAAGCATTACATACTATGATGTGGCAAGCTGAGCAGGAGGCATACGAAAGCGCAAAGCTGATGCATTTTTCAAAACATTCCATTTTATTACATCCTTACCAGTCAAACTAGACTTCAGCTGTTCCAGTTCTGAAGACATGAGTGCAAACTGCTCTTCTTTTTGGTTTAGTTTTTTAATTGTTTCTACGCAAGTAAAATTTTGAAAACAAAGTTAGTTACTACTGAGATATAGACAATTCCACCTACTTGCAAGGTATATTACTCTTAAGAGAGAGTGCGAGTAATCCCGTGCTTTCCATAGCTGCTGAAACTGCTGTACTGCCAGGTGTAAATTTGAAAGCGCATGGAAAAAAAACCCTTTATTTTGCAGCATTTATTTTCTGCAGCTTTTTAGTTTGTTTAGTTTAGCAGCAGACATACCTTGCATAGTTTGTTGAACGTTTTCTGCTTCATCAGCTGCACTAGTAAACTTTTCTTTCTGAAAAATGGATAGAAATCTAAGGTAAGGTTTGGTGATAGCAATATAATTCAACCACTGAATTTATATTAGGTATTTTTGAAGTACAAAATAGAAAGTCTTCAGTCCTATCATAAATAGATCTGAAGTTTTTGAATTACAGTTTAGCACAGATATATTCAGCAACATAAAGCAAGATTTTCCCTTGTCTTGGTTGCAAGCAAGTCCCTAAACTTTCAAAGTAACTTCTCCATCAGCTAGCACAGCAACAGAACTGCAGCCACAGTCTCCTGCGTAGAAGACGCGATTTCTGGGCTTCTCAACGCAAGAAGCTATCCACGCTGCTCATAGGCTGCACAGGGGACATCTGCAACCCTGTGATCCACCTCATACCAGTGTTTTCCAGCTTTACCAGCATGAAGAGGTGCTGGACTGTGAAGGAAACGGAGGATACTGGGGAAGATAAGAAGCAAGACTCTTCCCCCAACTTCAACTATTTACTATAGCCATGGAAAGATTTTATGACAGGGACAGTAAAACCTAAACGCATGTCTTTTTATTACTAATTCTGGTGTACTTTCTCAGGAAAATCCCACCCAACTACAGAATACTTGCAATTTTAATTAAATTTGCAAAATGAGAAATCAGATGAAAAAGTCTTCAAAAACATTTGTAAGACGTGTATTGCAAGCATTAATTTGTACAACAGTTATAATAAAGGGACATGTGTTCCTTAATGAGTAGTCTAAATTTAAACTACATGCTGCTTTTGATTTGGTTTAATATTTTACCTGAAATCCATGAACAGA